GTATAAAAAACAGCGGAAGTATTTTTGGATTATCGAGCTAAAATATTCTTCCCATATGAAATACTAGACTACTGTATACAGTGTGAGAAACCTCAAATTGAAGGTGAGGAAATCAAAAATCTACGACCTGATTACTGCCCAAGTTCTAAAACAGCTTGCTCCAATAAGTATAGTAAAAATGAGCAATCTTTTCATTTCTTCTTAAATGCGTTGCAACTTATTGGAAAATTTACTGAAGTTATCATGATTCAAAAGCCAGGAAAATCAGGATATGATATACATTCTTACAGGTCCATATCAATTCTACCGATAATATCGACTTCTTCAGAAAATTCTCATAAAACGTCACCGCCTCAGTTTGGGTTTCGAGCTAACCATTCTACGATTGATCAAATTATATTATTATACACTTTATTAAAAAAACTTTAAAGGAAAAAGTCTTGCGGTATTTTCGCTAGTTGGGCTGAGAGCGCGTAGTTCTAGTTTTATTCGTCGCATCGGGTCATGCTATACCTTTCTGGAAAGCTCATTTCACGCACTAACACGTGATTGATTGAATGTCGTTTCTTTTAAGTCATTTTTGAGTTATAGCGTCGCAAACATGGAAAGAGAACATACGGCATATTTTACAGTACTACTACGATAAAGGCAAGAATGCATCTCAAATCGCCAATAAAATTTGTGCAGTTTATGGACCCGATACAGTTTCCAGTTCCTACGTTTTCGTTCTGGTGTAGAGGTGGTCGAAGATGCGCCACGCTCCGGAAGGCCTGTCGTCGAAAATTGCGGTAAAATCGCAGAATTGGTCGAAAGAGACCGGCATAGTAGTAGCCGTAGCATCGGTCAAGAGCTGAGCATGAGTCATCAAAAAATTTTTTTTGAACAATTGAAAATTCAGTAAAAATACCGCAAGACTTTTTTGACAACCTATATTACAGCTGCTTAATAGTCTAACTTTTGCCTGAACTAGTTGCAATATAATAGTAGAAAAAAGTTCGCATGGACAGACGGTCTGACAAACAAGCAGACGTACTTGRCTGATCATTTATACGTCTACTTTTGGSTGTTACAAACATCGTGGAAAACTTAATACGTTTTAGAAAAAGGAGGTTTTTAGTTTTCAGAAATTAAACTGATAATACACTGGAAATCTATTATTTCTGAATTTTTAGCATTTCAATATAGAAGTAAGAACGAWTTTGGTGTAAATAAAAATATTTTAGAACTAAATTTATTCACAAATATTAACTTGCATGTATCGTGCAAATTAAATAAGGTTCTCCAATTTTGCAGCCCGTTGCTCTTTGCATTGATACCTTGATACCGTTAGGTTATGCACACAAAAGCATATATGTATGTAAGTGTTTGTGTGTCATCATAATTTCCAAATTGTAATCGCCATTAATTGCATTCACTTAAATTTCCATAAAMCGAAGTAAATGCACAAAATTTATTAGCCATTGCCTGTATTGCCAYATTGTCGGCATTGTGTTGCATCAATGAAAATTACTTTCGACAATTTGGAATTTGCCAACACAAGCACAAATGTGGCATGCACGATGAATGTAATGCTTCCATAAACCAGCAAAATATGCGTTTGTAATGAGTTGTTGTAGTTGTTGTAGATGTGAGGACCGCCGGCGATTGCTGTTTGCTACGAGTATTTTGATGATTGCCAGTTGACTGTCAAACAACAATCAAATTTAATTTGTCAACGCACCGAAACACATACACACACACGCAGGTGAGTGGACTAATGAGCTCGAAACACTATCGCATGCACACACACACATGCACGCACACACATATGCACTTTAAACTGTGCTGTTTATAAACCCCATCAGCTTCAGGTGCCACCTGCGTGCTCAGTGTATGCATATGTGTACGTCTGTATGCATGTGTGCTGTTGGGCTTTGTATGTGTTCGAGTGCTTTTCGCACAAAGCTTATTGTTGTTGTTGCTACTGTGCACGTCAGCCAAATTGCCAATAATTCTGAACTAGGTTAGACCTGCAGCCATGCGTTCGACGTCCAACGGTTGTTTATGCCTATTGCAGGCACACACACACACACACACACATACAAATGGCTGTAGACGACCACGTTAGCATTATTGTTGACTTGCTTTTGGGCTTTGTTGGATTACCGCTGATGTTCGACTGTTGCACCTTGCGTTTGTCAATAGTAATTGACAATTTCGAAATTAGCGCGCAGGCGTGACGGCGGTGTGTGGGGGTTATACCTTCGTAGCGCCGCTGGGAGATTGTCGAACGCACACATACATACGCCTGGCTATCAATAACTTTTCGATTGCGCTCACACATATGCATATATATATGTATTATGTATATATATATATAATAACTTTCGACAGATTCCTTCGGTGCATTCATGCGAATCTAATTTGCTGTGTTTTCTCTGTGTTAGTTACTAGCTCACGGCATATTATCTCACATTGTGTATACAGGCAATAATGAAAAAGATTAGTCTTTGTATAAAGTAGGTCACAAATGTATATGGAAGATTAATAAATTTAAAGTAATTCGAATAAATGTTTTGAAAAAATTAGAAAGAGTCTCATAAAGTAGTTGTGGTGGAGCTGCGTGCATTTTTCTGAGATAATTTGCTCTATTTTAAGGCGTTATATTCACCTTTGAATTYCAAACAAGAAAGAATGTAAACTTTGGTTGCACCTTCACAAATACAAAATCTTCCTTTAAGGATTTGATTTCGACCGGTCAGCTCTMATTTCAGTGTTATGCTTTAAGATTCGAATGTGAAGTTTTCGAGGAATGCCTTGAGCAATAATCCATGCCAGACTGGATGGAAAGATAGACCAAACACTCAAATATGAACGAATTGGTAAACTTTTTTAATTTAGTCTAATCGGCTGCTAAAACTTTAAATTCATTTTTCTTGAAACTCTGTTTAYAGAGTCGATCTGGAAAATTTCTCCGTTATGACTAAACCGATAAGCAAGAAGTTTCACAAGACCTTCATAGATGCATTTTTCAAGTACAGATTGAAGAAATAAAACTTTTCATAACACTTTCGACTTTTTAAGAATCTATGAAGTGGCATTTTTTATAACAAAAACACATGGGTTTTTAGAAAAATTAATCATTTTATGAAAAATTAAATTGTTGGCTAACTCTTCGGTCTTTACCTGTATTTATCAATAGTAATAATATTGTTTATTGAGTTTGCGGATTATAGRTAATTTTTAGCGGAAAAATCTTCCTCGTCGTAATATTGATTTTTCTTTTGTACAATACAGTTTATATTAATTTTGGAGTTTTAAGCTACTTACTGTTATAAAAACAGGATTTTTTATTTTCCAAGTGACTACCTCGAGATTTTGGTATTGTTCGATTATACTGTCTTCAATTATCTGAAAATCGAGAAAAATTTCTGATGAATTTAATTTTTTTGAACAGTTGTTTTAGAAYTCAAATAACTATTTATAAATTGTTTGACTTAATGATATTGATGAAGAACAAAAATTTTGTACGGGTAACAATGCCTGTTAACAGATGTCTTTAGCCATGCTGGATTGTGCGAATTCAAATCCCAAATTCATGGAGAGCATTTTAACTGCCGATGAAACATGGGTTTATTAGTTTGACATGAAAACGAGTTAACAAAAACCGCGAATATCGAGAAAATCGATCTATTCCGGAGGGTCAGATGTTTAATAAAGAGTCCTTTTTGGCGTTTTTGTGAAAACATTAGTCAAAAACAGCAGAAATTGTGGAAAAATAATGTGATTTTTTCTTGTTCCCCAAACTTGAATTGCATCTCCGTGATCGTCTTCAGTCGATCGAAGAGATAAAACAAAATTCGCTGATGTAGCTGAAGGCCATATCAAAAAGTTCTCATGAAACGTGTTCCGAGGACTGGAAAAATTCGATGTATAATTAAATAAATGATGATGTATAATTAAATATTTTGCTTTTATTTACAATTTCCGKGGAATTTTTGTTAAAATGTAATAAAATCGCTCGCTTAATTTTCGAAGATCTCARATCTCTTACGTTTCTGCATCAGTTTGTAGAAGCGAAAATAGAAATAAAGCAGCTAAGCAAAAATTTTGATAGAGTCTGAGAGAGAGTTATAGAGAGAGTACATAGTTGAAGTACTGTATCTTTATCTCTATATAGCAGTTTAAGGCAGCTCGCCTTATTTAAGCATCAGCCAGCTAAAAACGTAACTAACCAAAGGTCAGGCTTTAAGATAATGTTACTTAGCCTTTTATGTACGAAAATGACTATTTGTTTTACAGTATGAATAAACATATGAATACCACTAAAACTTCCACTATCTACAGTCAGCTAATATTTTGTTAAATAACTTGAGCCTACTGATATTTCATCTTTGAAGTCTGAAAGTTTTCAGCAACGAAACCCATATACATTTCCCCTGTATATTTCGTAAGACCTCWTTATTCACAAAAACTCTAGACTTGTTGTCTCAGTTATTGTTGAAGTAAGAAAACTCATCAGTGAAGATGTCCCAGATGTTGATTAAGTTGCGAAAGTTAGTCAGAGTACAAATAGTTTTAGTGACATTTTAAGTTTTGTAGCGAAATTCATCAATATAAATCCTGTGGTGTAAAAATTTTGTGATTTATCAAGTAACTGACTACTTTAAGTCGCATGCGGCTCATCCGTCAACGCGCCTTAGTGACTTGACAACACTAACTGAATTATAAATATCAAACTAAAYCTAAGCCGCCTRTACAAAATGARTGCTACAAGCTGTCAAAAWAAGAGCAGRTTATTTKTAACACCCTGTATTTCGAAAAATCMTCTAACAACTCAATGATTTTGAACTAGACTTACRGCTTACTRCTCACYTCAAAACTATGATACACGCTGCTAAATAATATTTCGTTTTTTCGTTAAAAATTAATAAACCGTTAGACTGCCGCATATTCATGGCCATTTGAATACAAAAATATCTGACAGCTTRAGCCTTTCGTAAAATAAGCAAACAAGCAACAAACAACAAGTGGAAACAACGTGTAAATAACCACACATATATGTTTGTATATGTATGTATGTGTGCGCCCGAGCAATATTTTCGCTTACGAACAGCAATAATTGAGATAACAATATGCGTTAGCAATGCCGCTCGCTGCTAATACCTCTGTGGCATGCGTTGGCARCAAAAACAACAATGACATTAACAAATAGTGCACGGAAACAAGCGAGCAACATGACATTTTGCCTGCCACACGGCGTTGTTGGCATTTGCTGCGTATTTTTTGCGGCAGCTCGCCGCTGTTGCARCTCTTCCACTTAAAATTTAAATGCACTTGCTGTTGTTGTTTTGCTGCATATGTAATTGAGAGGCAGGAGCGGAAAAAATWTTACTAAAAACTTGTTTTTAACTTTTTTCTCATAAAATTTCCGCTTTAAAATGCCACTCAAAGTAAATTGCAGTCTATGGGGCATGCAACTCTTGCAATAAAATATACTCGTATAGGCAATATTTTTTGAAAATATAATTTTTTTCGCATGTTTTTTATCAAATCGGTTTTTTTTTAAATAATTTTTTGTATATTTCGCTGTTTTCATTCGCATCTGATAAACTTGTTTGCCGCATTTTTTCTGCTGTTTCAAATAGTTGTTCGTTGGCTGGCATTTATTGCTGACATTGATGTGCGCTGATTTGAACAAAATAATGTCAAATGTTCACTCTTTATCGCGCTGCAGCTTTATATTTGAWATTAAAACACTTTTTTATTTCTGGCTTTTATATTATTTTTTCTTTGCTTTCTATAAAATTAATGAAATGATGGCAACTCTATTTTAGTGTTTAGGGATATCAGCATTTTGCATGTACTCGAGAGAGAAATGCTCTTTGATAACGGTAAAAATGTAATTTTATCTTCATGCAGGTAAAAGCATTTTATCCTCAACGGATTGGTTGAATTAAAGGCATAGTCATAGAGAAAACAATTTGTAGAGTCAAGGACTTGTGATGCATGCGATGCCAGTAAGTTGTGACCAACAACGGTCCCACAGTCTTTTCGAATTCGTGTGCTTAGAATGCATGCGTGTTTTCCTACCGGTTTGGGAATCCTGCATGCGCGTAAGGCATTCTATCTCACTTTGATCTGTCTGTCAGCCATTTCGGAATTTTCATTGCATATTGGTTTTAGTAACTTCCTTATTCTTTGTACTGTTTCGGTAGCCAGACGGATGGAACTTTGGTAATCTAGATTATTTTCGGCAGCAATTTATATACTGCCTTCCTATTTCCAATGGCATTCTCTGATGCAATGAGATTTAATATTATTGCTTTAATTGCCCCTCGAATATAGACGTATATATTGATATTGTTTACGTAATTTCCTGCGTTGTTAGTTATCTCAGCAGAGTTTCTGAACGCAAGAATTTTGTCTGGAAGATACTGCAGTATTCGGGCAGCTGAAAAKGTTGCCTGAGATCTAGCGTCAGTGTATATGTTAAGAGTTCCGATAGTGAATCGCGGGCCATCCACCCTCTTTTAACGCGACTCGAAACCTTCTTTCCCAGATAAAGCATGAGGTTATGCATTCTATTTTATCCACCGACCACCTGTCTGTTGAGCTATGACCGGTAGTTTTTGTAGAAAATTTACCTAACTTTCCAAATCTTGAAGTTGATTAAGCTGCTGAGTTTTCCACTGCAATGGCAATTGATGGCAGGTTGAGTTATCTTTCAAGTGCAGGCGTWGGAGTGGTTCTTAGTGCACAAGTTACGCAGAGAGCAGCGACCGGCTGTATTCGTTGCAATAGTTTCCTATATAAGGTTTTACTGGTGGCGGTCCACCAAAGCAAGGAACAAAGTAAGATTGGTTAGTTTACCGATGTGTAACACCAATAATAGGGAGAGGTTATATATGGGTGTACTTCAAGCCAAGTTTTGTGAAGACAGTGCCTTGTCAAATAAAAAACCTTTCCAGACAAGAACTTGATTTTGACTGTTCAGACAGTATGGCAGCTAAACGCTCTAGTGTTCCGATAGTGGTACATCCGACAAATRAAATGCAAAATTTCAGATCGATATTTCTAAAACTGAGAAACTATTTCGCATATATACAGACAGACGGACATCGCCAAATCGCTTCAGATCGTCACGATGATTATGTAATTATGTACATTATATATATACATATATTCAAGGGTGATACACTGATTATAACAACCAATTTTTTCGAGATCTGAGATTAGAAAATAGTCGCTGGTGACCTGAACTGGAGAACACGGTGGATGTGGAAGCAATTTGCAGTCAAATTCAAGGATCTTCGGCATCGTTTTCACTACATATATATATTGTGACACGGTGTGAGTCGTTCGTATGCAGACCACTTGGATAAATATAAATTTGACCTCGAAGTGAAATGATGTAGCCATGTCTCATCTATTGCCACATATCGAGGTAAGAACCCGGGTTTATTACGCTATTACGCACCGCTCCGAATCATCAACTCGTTATTTTTGGTCTAAAGTAAGTTCGCGCGGCACCCATATTGCATAGAGCTTTCTTATACCCAAATATGCGTGTATGGYATRATGTATGTTACGTATTCTTCAAGCGAAGTTTTTCAAAACTTTACGAATTTTATTTACCAAATTACCCCACCTTTATTTCATTAAAACCAAACGAAACCATAATGACAGTTATTTTATTAATTTAGTTGCAATTACACTTGCTCTTTATTTTTGTGGTAATTTGAAATATTTCAAAATGAAATACTGTCTAATTGCACATAACAAAAAGCAAAAGAGAAATAAAAATWAAACAACAAAACAGCTACAAATTCACACAATTTCCTAATGAAATAATTTCGTGTTACAATATTTCAATTTCAATTCCATGCAACGAAAACAGAAACAGCATGCGGTAAGAAATTTTGATGATTTGCAGCTGTTGTTGTGCAAAAAAGTACAGCTAGCCAAAAGCAGCAACAATGTAAATATAGTATATGTACACATTTACATAGCAAGAACAATAATAATGACACTTAACTGTGAATATAAATGTTAATGTGAATTTGATTTTGCTCTCGAATTGTAATATCAATTTGAATTAGAATTTAGCCGCACTACGCGAACTAATTGCATAYATATTTAACGGTATGCGTTGAAATGCAAGGACATCTACAGTAGTGTAAAGAATTTAAGCAATATAACTGTTTGCAACGTTAGTCGTCTTCCTCCGCTGCGGTCTTCTCATATTAATCCTCTCAGTTTAAGGCCACTTCCGGCTAACTGGACYAAACCAACTTTGTTGAGAGACTGAGTCAAAAGAACACACTATTTTCTCAGTTTGCTGCCAAAATCGAAATCTCGGTTAAAGCCGGGTAGTTGTTTTAGCAACGGCATCAAACTACTTGATTACT